CCTGAACGGAATAGGAGAGAGGTACGTTAGGCTAAGAACTATGCCTAGTCACAAAGATCATTTGGTGGATTAATTGAAAAGCACAGCATCTATGGACTTGGGAAACAATGAGAAACACACCCAGCTCCCAGAAAGGGCAAACAAACCATTTCTCTCTTCTTGCAAAAATGTAAAGGAAATCCTTTAGTCCCTGAAATAGTTTTCCTATCTCCCTAAAGAGGTTGACTCACCAACCCCCCCCCCCCCCCCAGGGAAATTCTTCTTTCTGTTTGGATCTTTACACTTTTCCTTAAAGAAAGTGAGCTCACTCTGCAATGCACGTGGGGCACTGTGTTTCTCAGACTTCTCACACTCTACTCCATCAGAGAGCAACTCCTAACCTTTTGCTGAATTCCCTTGCCTTATAATCTGTCATTCTCCGTCTTTTCCCAATCACGCACAGAGGTGTTTGTGAGTTTTGAGGAAGCTATAGATGCCTGAGTTCTGGGCCAGGTGCACTGAGAGAGCTCTGCTCACTTCTTGATCACCAGGATACAGGGTTATGTCACATCTGATCGTAGCTCATTGCAGTCACCTCAGAAAACATCTGCAGAAAAAACACTGTATCTAGAAGTACCCCAGGCTAGTATCAGGGGGCAGGGAGCATCACATGCCTGATGTTTGAACCCAGCTGCTGCCATGGAATGACCTGGATGAAGGGAGTGCTTGCTGAAAGCCAAGCCAGTCTGGGCAGTACAGGCCTTTGCGTGGATTGGGCCTCTCCCAAATTTTGCTTTGTCCATTGTCTTGGCATCTTGGCAAGAGGCAAGATCACAACTTCCGTCTCTGCAAGTTCTTTTCTATGTGTGTTCTATCTCCCAAGATCTGGCATTTTGTAAGATTTTATAATTTTAAATCAAGGGAACAGTTATAAAAATGGGGTTGAGAAAAACGTGGGTACTTTCATGAGAAATGACTAATTCATCTCCATACGTTCTATCAGTTTCACTGCGGTCAAAAGCAGGTGTTTCCAGGCTATGAATAAGTAGTTTGCATTTTCAGAATTAACAAATTGGACCAACACCAAGGAAAAAAACCAACAATCATAGACAGCCCACCAGAGAATTGTTTACCAAAGAAGATGAAGCTCGTGGCAATGGTTTGCAAACACCACCAGACGAGCTTGTGTAAATGCCCTTCGTGTAGTCATGGTTCCTCAGCTTGTCACACATACTGAAGGAAAACGCAGAAACAGGAAATTACAGACTATTTTAAACAGCATGTTTTATTAAACTCACTTGCTGATGCACTTTATGGCAGGATGCGAGATTCAAGTGTTCATAACTTACATCTTTGCAAGTGCTTTTCCTAAGCGAATTCCCCCAGCTGAAATGTGGCATGTACACAGGGCTGGAAACAATCTCTCAACTGGTAACTGTTTCACCCTTGGTCCTGTAGCTCTCACATCCAATGGAGAAGTTTTAGCCATGTGGAGATAATCTACCTTGCTTACACACTCTAGGAGAGCAATGGAGGCAGTAGTAACTTGCAAGATCCTGAATGCATTTTATTTTAAACCACAATCAAAACACAGGAATCTTAATGTGAATTCCTAGAAACCATACATTGTCTCTTTTGTTACCGAACTATTGATTTCCTTCCCCTCTTCCTGGGACAGTTCTGCATCTCATTTAAACCATCACTGTTCATGGCCTGCTGACTCCCTGTTTTTGAAAAGGCCTAGCAAAATTGGCATGGATAACCTTCAGTAGAAATGAAGTGGCTTCAAACTTCAGGGGCTGTCACAGAAAATGGATTTGAACAACTAATTATTTTCAAAAACGTTTCTGCTCACAATTTGTTTGAGGAATATAAAAGCCTGAGCTGCGTTGCATACGAATCCTTATATCCTTGTCTGATGTTTATTGTGAGGTTGACATCTCTTAACGCCCATGTCTGCTGCCAAGTTGTTCCCAGCTCTTCTCTAGATACACAGAAAGGAAGGCATTCAGTAGAGCTGTAATACAAGTTCATGATTGGAGGGGTGGGTAGCCCTGCTTTGATGGAGTTAACTATGATCTCCAAAACTAAATGTTCATTCGCTGGCTTCACCATTTACGAAACAAAATGTTCTAAATCACCACTGTCTTAAAAGATCGTGCCAAAGATGCTTGACCCTAATTACTAATTGGTCAGCAGACAGTCACTTCCTCAAGTTTTTGAGTGTTTCTACCTTCCTCCCACATCCTGGCTGCTGTAATCCTGTCCTTGGGACCCCTTCAAGGTGAAGCACAGAATAATAGGATTTTTGAGAGTGGAAGCTAGGAAGACTACGGTATCTTTGCTCTTTTAAAGGGCCTCCGCTCCACTTTTAGAGAGGAACAACCAGAGGCAAAGGTGAATGATTTGGTTAACAAGATGCACCGAGATGCCTCAGGGAGTAGCAATCAATGGCATTCTTGGGGGAGTTGGGTCATTTTCTTAAGTATTTCCCTTCATTTAACTTTTAAAAGTCCAGAATCTTGCCCTATCAGGTTTTCCTTAAAGCAAAGCACAGCAATGAGAAAAGGTGCTCCTTTCAGGTGGACAGACACAGTGTGTGGGGTGAAGAGTGTCTTAGCTTTACCAGTCTCTGAGGATGCAGCTATAGAACCCAGTCCCTAGATTTACCTGTCTTGGCCACTCTGGAAAAATCTGAGTATCTTCTGAGTAGACATGGCAATCCAGGCACACAGGAGGCCCTAATGCTCTCACACCAACAAAAGGAACATTTTTATTCCGATGGGTGTTTAGCAGGGGTTTTTTTGGGAGGCAGGGGAAAGAGAAAGCAGGTCTTTTGGTATGCTGGAAATATCCTAGAAACAAAAACTTGATGACTAAAAATTACAAATTTTAATGCTGCTGAATTGAAAGGCACCGATCTTCCAGCAGAGAAGCTCTGGTGGGTTCTACAGAGTGGAAGCCTGAACCCCAGCTCAGGTGAGTGCTGTGGGAAATCACCAACTCCGTCATTTTATAGCTTTGGCCATCAAGAGAAATATTAATAATGCTGGGGGATTTTAAAAAGCAAAAGGATGTTATTTCTTTCATATTTAAATCTCTATGATGTAGGACAGAGTAAGAATGCTATGTCCGACAAATTAATTAGCTTTCAACTAGCCTTCTCTTACCAAATGAAATATTAACCTCGAAGAATAACATTAATACAGAGTCGTATGGAGTAACACTAGCAATGATCTATGGTGGTTTCAACCATTGACACGAGTCATCTTTTTGACAATTTGGCATTTCATAATGGAAATCAGCTAGGGTTTACATTATGCTATGTTTTTGTCAGAAACTTTGCAAAAATGGAAAATGTTTAGATTCTTTAAGATGAAGCCTTGACAACCAACCACATCATTTATTAACACTGTCCCCTTGGGGCGCCAGGGTGGCTCAGTCGGTTAAGCATCCGACTTTGGCTCAGATCATGATCTCGCGGTCCATGAGTTCGAGCCCCGCGTCAGGCTCTGTGCTGACCGCTCAGAGCCTGGAGCCTGTTTCAGATTCTGTGTCTCCCTCTCTCTGACCCTCCCCTGTTCATGCTCTGTCTCTCTCTGTCTCAAAAATAAATAAACGTTAAAAAAAATTTAAAAAAAAATACTGTCCTCTTAATCCACAGGAATCTAAACTTACAAACTAGCATCATTCTAAAATACCTGTCCAATTGACCTCTTAAAGTAGTCTTTCATTTTGAAGACACCTGCATGGCCACTGTCCACTAGACATTTAGAGTTTTTTGAAAGAGAAAGAGCAATGGAAAAAAGAAAATCTTAATGAATTTTGATCATTTTAATAAATATATATCAAGAAAACCTCACTTTATTACAACAACACAGTCATATACAAGCATCTATCATCTAAGTTTTCAACATCAAATGTTTATCAAATATTGAAAATAAAGGACAAAACATTACTAGACTATTTAGCCATAACACAAGAACATGTTTTAAAAATTGGTCCTTGTGGACATTGTCCAAATGATCCTACTCATACACTGTATGAATGAGACCTATATTTAATATTAATAGCAATAATAAAAAAGCTTTATCTTGGAGAAACTGGGAGGACGTACTTCTTTCCTCCGTTTGGCATTTGGTTCCTGTGAAGTATTGTTTAAGGAGGCCCAAGTCAATTAGCAACCTTGGAAACTGCAATACAGTGTGGAAGAAGTTGGCTGCAGAAGGGCAGACGGTCAGAGGGGCACTCTGAACACGCTCTTGCAAACGTGCAAATTAAAGAAATCACTGAGAAACATGTTGACCAAATACATGGTAGCTATTGCCAGCTGAGTCCCATTTCTCCAAAATAACTTTCCAAAAACGAAAATCTTTACATTCTTTAAGATAAAACCTTATTGATCACCACATCATTTATTAACATTGTGCTTCTTAATCAACAGCAAAAGTCATATATAAAAAACCACATGCTTTCATAATCTAAACGAGTGAAATGATGCAAAACAGATTAAAGTATAATGCATGCCACTGGTTCATGAACTGCATTGGACAAGAAAACAAAACAAAACTAAACAACCCAAAACCCAAAACACCCAAACCCCAGCAACAGACCGTTGCCATAGAAAAAGCTCAAGCAGCTTAGTGCTGGCTTCTAACAGCTCTATTGTTGCCCCCATCCCTTTCTAAAAATGCCAAATCCAAAAGCAATTGGGCATCAAAAACAAAGAAAGGATAGAGATGTTGAATCAAAAGTTGAACGCAATAGTTTCGAAGTTAACGGTTTCCAAACGATATTGATCCACCCTGTGTATTTTTTTTTCCTGTTTGTTAAATCCCTGCTGTAACTCTGATTTATCCTTAATTTGCACATTGGCAAAAATTAAGATAAAGTAAGGCACCAAAAATCGCCCTGTATATCACCTCTCTTTAACAGCCGAATCACCCATCACAGGCAAGCCAGGAACTTGCAGGGATCACCCCTCTACACATATTGTTGATTGCCACCCCAAGACTGGTGTTTCATTATGTTCCATCCTCTTTTCATCTGTCACGCAAGACTGTTAAATATAAATACTTAACGGCACCACGAGGCCACTTCATCTAGCTCCCTGTCTTCAGTCTTTTATTCAGAAAAACAATAGTCATGTAGAAGCAGGCATCTTTTGCTGGTTGTTTTGGTTTGCTTACCAAATAACTACCTAATTAGTTGGCGAACATGTTGGAAGTTTCCTGGCTAGTGACAGATTCCTTGGGGGTAATGGAAAGATCACAAGGGCACACTGCCCCCAGGCTAATCTACTGACCTTTTCCATAAGAAAAGTAAGGTCTACTTTTAAGCATTAAGTCAGCTGGTTTTTGGGCAAAATCACCACATTTATAAGTAGCTCGCTGATGCCTACTATACAGATGTTTTATGCAATCTGCTCTCCAGGCATTAAAACGACACGGCATGTTCATGGCATAATTTTATCAGTTGTACAAAACTATAAAATCCATTCAAAATAAAATTTATGAGAGCTAATTGATCATGCTGTGCATGCTTCAGAGTTTCGGTGAAAAGATGGCTCATATTTTACTCCCTTTGCTGCAGCACAGTTTGTTACTTGGTGAAGGCTCCTTTTTCCTTAAGGATTTTTTCCAAGACTCGCTCACATTGCTTTTTTCATTATATGCAGTCTCAAAATAATCATAAAATTGGCCTTTGCACTCAAAAGCCAGGTCATTTCCCACAGGTTCATGGCTTATGGGGCCACCATCCCTGTTGGTGTCATGATTTGCTTTCTCATCACTTAAGGTGGCCTTTTCCTGAACACCTAGCGACCTGACATTAGTAACAAAGATTTCATTGGCAGGTATCTGGCCATCACCCTTGTAAATAGGTGCGCTGCCTACGTCAAAATCCACCTGGTGGGAACAACTCGGTAAAGGTAGAGGGGGAGAGGAAGAGGAGGATGAGGAGGAAGAGGGGACAGTGGTGGAGGCACTTCCAACGCTAGCATGGACAGAAAGGGGTACATTTAGGTAGTGACCACCACATTCTTGGTAAAAGCAGCAGGCATGAAATTTTTCACACTCCTCTTTGGCCATCCGTGGTCGTTTTCGGTAGGGACAGTCTTGAGCCATGAACCACTCTTGAGCAGAGGTGCCATTGAAAGAGCAGGCAGGAAAGCACCAGTTACTCTGCATGATGATTTCTCCATGGATCCTTTTCATCAAATTGTTTATAAGGACAGATCTTCGCAGGTATACCTCAGGATCATCGATAAACTTTAGCTTTTCTAATGACATATAAAGGATGTGGGCTCGTTCCTCAAAAATTGAGATGGTCTAAAAGTCAAAAAAGGAAGAGAAAACTTAGGTCATGGACTACAGGAAAATGTCATCACAGTACATTTCTTTCTTGGTAGTCTCTGGATCTGGGAATACTGGGCTCCTGTTTCTCCCAAACTCATTTAGGGATGCTGTCCCTGGTGTTACTAATGTCGACCCCCCCCCCCCAGCCCCCATTCCTGAATCCCTGGTGTGGTCAAGCACCTGGGAATCCAGTCACAATGGAGACCTCAGCAGGGGGAGGTCAGGTTGTTCGCTCTTATATGGCCCCGTGAGGGAGATGCTGAAACACACAAATCTACACTGCTAAAAATCAGGAGAGCAGTTTCTCGGGGCGGGGGTGGGGGTGGGGGAGGGGCAGAAAAGTAGTAACAAGAGGCACGAAGAGAGGTTCTCAGTTGCTGGCTATGTTGTTTCTTGATCTGGGTGCTAGTTACACGGGTATGTTCACTATGTGAAACGCATCAAGCTGTACCCTTAAGACACTTGTGCTTTTATGTGAGTGTATACAAACACATGCATACGCGCACACATATACTCATACGTTACATGGGAATAAATGTCTTTTGAAAGATGGCAAAATGCAGGTCATAATAAGTATACTTCAAACCCTGGCCAGGAGCATGAGAACTGCTTTCAGGGCTGTCCCTGTGGGTTTAACACTTGCAATTATCTTTGCTTGAACGAGGGACAACAGCCTTTCCCCTGAAAGGATCTGTCAGTTGAAGGGCCAAAGTAGGCTTCCTTCTGGAGCCAGGCAGGAGAAGAGATGCAAGGAAGAAATGAGAAAGACTCACTTCTGAGCAGTGTGCTACCATCACCATGTGATGATTGGTACAGAGGCAACTAGAAATTCGCTGCAACCATAACACAAAAACGAAAGAGGAAATAAACAGCTTGTGTCCTGGGGGGCCACCTCTTCCAGGCCATAAAAAAAAAAAAAAGGAACTGTTAGCATGACCTGAGGAGCTATGAACAAAGCCAGCCCAGGATCAAAGGCAGGAACTGTACATTCAGAGAAAAGCTCAGCACCTACCAATGCATGCCCAGGTCATTATGAGCAAGGCCAAAGCCAACACCTTGAAGGATAAGCTTGTGGGGTGGTGGGGAGATGGGGTAAGAGGAGACAGAGAGGAAGTGCATCAAAAAATTAAAACTCCTCTCCATGTTTCAGACAACTATGCTTTGGCTTATACCCTCCCTTTTCTTATTTTTAAGTTCATGCACTTATTTCGAGTGAGCGAGCAGGGGAGGGGCAGAGAGAGAAAACCCTAAGCAGGCTCTGCACTATAAGCTCGAAGCCTGAAGTGGGGCTCGAACTTGAACTTTATGGAACCGTGAGATCATGACCTGAGCCAAAATCAAGAGTCAGACGCTTAACCGGGGCCACCCAGAAGCCCTGGGGTTATACCCTCCCTCGATTAAATCTGTAGATAGTTTTTAAAGGAGGATAACCATAAAGAAAAAGAAATGGTATTTGAAAAGCTTAGTGGCCAGTTTCCTACTTCTTCTTATGTATGCAAAAGAGTTAGCTGTGGTCTTTTCTTGGGAATGAATTACATATTTTAACAAAGTAAACATATGCAGCCAGTGTACAAGTGCAGGTTTCTACTTCCACGCATGCTTTCAACAGATGGGGAGTCCACCTGTAAAGGGTCCTGAGAAGCCCTGGGGAACCGCTCCCAGGTGGGCACCCACAGAAGTGGCACTGGCCGCTGGAGCTAGAGCTTGGGGAAGTGGAAGGTCAGGAAAGAACAAGTGCTCTTCTGTGCACACGTGAAAGCACACACCATTCATAACCATTAATGCAACTTAAGAAAAATCAAATCATTTGTAAAAAAGATGTTCCTTGGATTATGTAATTTTGTTATTTCTGGGTAGAGGAGCTCCTGCTGGCTCTTTCCTCAATTCCTTGTGAAAAGAACACAGGACCCAAAAAAGGGACAACGATTAATATGGCTCTGCTGAGAAGTGGCTCATTTTCATTGCTTGGGTGGAACAATTTAATTTCTGGAAATGGATCAAGCAACTGTTACTAAGTATCTTAAACTCTTAATAAAAAGAATGACTATTAAAAAAACATACTTTATGGCTACAGCTGCTGAGTGGTGGGTGAAAATCCTCTTCTTCCACATACTTCCTCTTAAAGTATGTGATCTTGGATGCTGTTATAGGATTTGAAATTCCCCTGTAATGTGATCCTGTGGTAATAAATCAGATATGACAAATGACATGCGGTTTGCCAGACTCTCCAAACAAAATACTTTCCTTTAATTTCCTTATAGAAGATAAGTTGGCTACGTATATGTCTGTACATGTGGTGATTAAAAATAAACATTTGTCTTAATGGTTGCTATCATACAGAATTGTGGCCCAGGCTAGGCAAGGATTTCGAGGTAATTATAAAGGAAAATGATCTATTTCAGCATTTACTAAATACTCAGAATCTTAACTGTATGCACAAACAGCAAAATTCATAAAAGGAAAGAACAGTATTTGTTCAAAGTGTTTAATTAAATCCATGATAACATAACACCACTGCTCAAATGTATACATCTTTAACTGTCAGCACTAACAACCAAATAACTTTAAAATGTTATTGGCTGTAGGTAAGGAAGCAAATGACTACCTGCATATTAGAGTTATAATTTTCTTTCTTTCAATATATGAAATCAAAAACTTTTTAATTTAAAAGTAAAATTTGGGCTATCCAAAGTCCTTTTTCCTCTCAAAAACATAGTATGTCAGCCATGAATAAAAGTAGGGTTTAAATTTTAAAGAACAGAGCTTTTAATCCAAAACAAACTTCAAAGAGTACTTATTTTACATTATAGGTTTTTTTTAAGGGGTACTACACAAAAACCCAAGGAACTTACCTTAAAATATAAGAATAAAGAATCAGGAAGAATATACATCTAGATTTCAAAAATTTTCCCCCTGAATATGAAAGCCAGTTGTGTGCTTAATAAAAAGAAGAGACACACAGCTTCTGGCCCAAAGTGTAGATTCCTTTATGTCTCATGGGATACAGATTTCATTGTCAAGCTCACCAGGACTTGTGTAGCTCTGAGAGAGCCATGCAGTGCTACAGGGTGAAAAACCAAAACCCAAACTCAAGAGTTCCAAAATCTGGTTTGGTTCTTTTAAAAATATAGGTGCATGACTTATACACGCAGCAGCAGCTTGTGTAGCCTCAGGTCTGAATGCAACTTGAGTATCACGTCTGGTCCCCTCCCAGGAGCCCTGGGCTCACTTATGAGAGGTGTACAGGCAGCCTGGGAAGTCCCTGGAACATGAGCTCTCTCAGCTCAGAAGGGCGCCCCAGACACCACCCCCGCCCACTAGTCTGGCAGCTGAGCTGCAGAGGGCAGCAGGGGAAGGTCAAGGGCAGTACCTGCCAGCGGGGGACCGGCTCCCCGGTCTCCCTGCAGAGGAGCCTGTGCTGGCCCAGGGGGGCTTGGGCCTCCGTAGCTGTCAGCCTCCCATAGTGTCTGGTACCCAGCAATTTCAGCAGCTCCTTCCGAGACAATGGGCTCGCAGAATCTATTCATGGACAGAACCAGAGTCATCTCTGACAGCCTCAGATCTAAAAAAAAAAAAAGAAAGAAAGAAAAAGAAAAAGAAAAAAGGAAAAAAAAGAGAAAAGAAAAAAGAAAGAAAGAAAGAAAACAGCCCTAATCAAGAATAAGCCAGGGAATGGCCTTGGCATTTTCATTCCTTTGCTTTGGGAAACTTTTACTTCTCAGTCCTCCCCTTCACCCTGAAACATTTGATTATTTTTTCAAAGAAAACCTCAGCAAACTCTCTTGCTGCTATTAGCTCAGCCTCTGTGTTCGGCAATCTGCATTTCATGGGCGGATCTTTAAAATCCCATTTCTTATTGTTCTCAGATTCCCCTCAGCCCTCTTTGAGACAGCTGCTTTGCCTCCTAACACATTTTCCCCCTGACCTTCCCGCACAAAATGTACCCCTAAGAGGCAAGTCCCGGACCCTTGCGCTTCCTTTCTATTAATAAGGCAAAATCAATTTTCTAGTCAGTCCCCAGAGAGTCTCCTTTGATGAAATCCGCTAATCAATCAAAAGGAAAGGGTGGGGAGGCAGAAATCTCCACCATTAATCCCTACTGATGCGCTCAGGTTTGGTCTGTGTGGCTGGCCCTCTTGTCTCCTTTCGGCTGGACCAGCTCCTCTACAACATTCCGGGGCTCCCTCCACTTTCTTTTCCCAAAACGAAGCAGACAGAGACACACTTGGTAGTTGTTTCCACCAGCCCTGATCGGCCTGAACTGGATCTGCCTCCAGTCAAAACACTGTGAGATGAAGACAGAAAATTGGCTCCAGTTTCAAGCCGGGAGTTGCAGCCCCACAGGAGCCAAGCACAACATCAACGGAGCAGGCAGAATATTAAACAGGAGCCAGGGCTTCAGGGCCAGAGGCAGCCGGCAACTCTTTCCTCGGTGAGGCCCAGACACAAGGCAGAACTTTCCAGGAGGCACACCACTGCCCTCCTCTCCAGTTCGCACCCCTGCCTGGGGTCTGCGGGGAGACTGGGAGCCTCTCTGCTCTGTGATACAGCGCTGGGCCCCTGCTTAACTCAGGTGGACCAGGCCACTTCCAGGGGGGCTCAGTGTCTCCACTTGGTCCTAAAGCTCGAGGCAGGGTGAAGAGTGAGTTCAAGGGGGAAAAGGATTTGATACTAAAGCAAAAAGACCTATGGGCCAGAGATCAGTGGTGAAGGCAGAGAGGCCTCAGCACCTTTATTAGCTGCCAATTCCTTTACAAGACCTGAACCTCCACTATCCCACTTTGCCATTTAAAGAACTGTCACAAGGAGTGATGTCAGGTCTGCTTTCTGAAGACTGATTGTCTTTCAAACATACGCCAAAGGTCTACTTCACGTTTTCCTTCTCCAAATTATACAGCTTGTAATGTTTTGGGGAAAGGGTGAATCTCCTGCTGTCTAGGAGACTGTGATTACCTACATGTTATACGGAGGGTCCACTTCCAGGTAACAGAAGGAAAAACACCAGGGGAAGGGGAAATAGCTTCACTGAAGAGACAATGTCCTCTGGCTAACAGAGCGGCTCTTGGCAGCCAGGACTCCATTCTTTGTTCGGGCTTCTCTTGGAGATCCTAAATTCTGTCCCAACCTCACTGAACAATGAAGCAAGGCCTTCTGACAGACAGGGGGAAGTGTCCATGTCAGTGGCTGGAAGGAGGACCCAAATGATTTGGGCTGCTAAATGACCTACCACTTCTCTTTTACACTGTCCTCCCTGCGAAGAGGCAGCAGCAAGGACTTAGTAAACATTATTAGAAGAAGAAAAAAAGAGGTGTTTGATTAACTCTCTAAAAGGCAATAGTGGGACATACCATTTATTTTGCTCTTGAGTCATCAAAAAATTTAGGGCTACCCTGATTTAACAAACGAAGCTGTTCTATCACCCCTCAAACCCGGCAACCAAACAAGCTATCAAGCCTCACGATGACAGATTCCCTGGGAGACTCTCATAAATGGTCTAATTTCTTAACCTATGATAAAAGACAGTTGTTTCAGTAAATGCTATTCCAGGAGCACGCGAGTTATATAGCTTTTTCTCGGTCAGTAGCCCTTTCTCGTTGACTGCAGTGGTGGTTTCCAGCTTGAAATTCACATTCACTTTTGTGCTGGATTCTGGGAATAAGACCCAAGCTTTTTGTCTGTTGAACTTTTATTACATAAAACCAGAGGAGGGTTGACAAATCCACTCCTCTTAAGAAAACATTTGTAGGCCCCTAGAAGCAATTACCTTTGTTTAATAGGACATTATATGGGCCCTGTGCTGTTTTATGTTCCTAAGAGTTTGTTTACATATTAATAACTTATTGTTGTAGCTTTTTTGGTTAAGGATTTCAGTGTTTGTACTTGTTAGTATTGATTCCAACACATGAAATTCTATCAGTTACACATTTGAACTTGAAACATGGCATAGTTGTCTTATCTTGGCTCTTTCCTTTGTGAAATCTAATTTCTGTAAGTTTTTTCTTTTTTGAACTGGAAACCTGTACACACAAATATGCTGGAGAAGCTGAGTTCCTTCCATAAGTGATTTATGTAAGTCTGAATAAAATATGAGTGACTTTGGACTATTTGGGGGCTGGGAGAAGATTCTGCAATGGAGTCTTCCTAGGAAGCCTATTTAGAATTTACACCAGGATGTTAACAAATTAAGAAGGCAAGTTCAATGTTCAGGAAGAATTGGGAGTGTGCGGTGCTAAGCGCTCATGTTTCACATGACTATTTGTATTATACGTGCAGATCCAAACTGTCACTATTCTCTGTACGATGAGATTTACATTGTAATTCTGCTACTGAGTTCAGAAGTTTAAATCCACAAATTCATGTGCTGTTATTATTAGATATAACCACAAAGATGTACATTTATGGTAAGATTTGTATTTTTTAACATCAGAGGTGAGTGGATTCAAAAGAAGGTTGTTAAAGTGTGTTTTGTCTACACATGGGTTTAAAAAATAAAAAGGTCCTAACCTCTTATTCCCAGGTTCCTGCAGGTCAGTTTTGTCACCCACCTGGACATAGCAGAATGACACCTCACGCATTCCCCAAAGGCTAACGACTAAAATGTCATGCTTTTTCAGGAAATATTCATAGTAAAGTTACCAGGCATTGCTATACAATTTGGTTTTTCCAGATGACTTACGCATGTTTTTTCCTCAGAGCCATTATAACGCTAATAGGAGAGGTAGGCACATAGAACAGGGTGGCTACAGGTTCAGCGGCACCCTGAATCTAAG